TTTGCTCTGCCAACCCAATGCTAACCTTATTCCACTTTTTCCCGTCTCCGAGCTGCTTTGTAGCCAAGTTATGGCTTTTTCAGTGACACGGGAAGCGCCGCCCATCTCAAGTACGCCCCGCCCATTTCGGGTGTGTCTCCTCCATTTGGTCGGTCAGCCCTTTGTTAACTTTACTGCACTGTTCCCCCATCTCGGGACTGCTCTGGAACCGAGTTATGATTTTTTCAGTGACATCGCTAACTTTCGGTGCACGCTCCGCCCACTGAGCGGTGCTCACCACACCCTTTGGGTCGCAGGTGCTATTTACATTTTGTCCCATGCCCTACCCATCCCCACCATGACCCGACCTCTCCAAGTTCTTCTTCAGGTGCTATGAATTTCGTGACAAACAGACAGACGCACACACAGACACACACACGCACCCAAGGACATAGCCGATTATATGTGGTAGGATGATGACGATTATTCTACCTGAATGTGCTACTGTTTTGAAGCCTGACCGCTAGATGAGCTCATATGAATGTTTGACAACATCATGAAATCTATTCTGAGAATTTACAAAAAATAAACAATTTCGAAAGTTTACGGAAGTCCTGCAGCATTTTGGTACCATACACTTTCTTCAGCACTGAGAAGTCTAGTCTATTCAGTCTTCACCAACCCCGATTTGTTCTCACGTAGTGGTTCTTGAAATTAGTTTTGCAGGCTCTATTTATTAGTTATTATCCTGGTGTGGCAGCACGTGTTGCGCTATTTCTCTACGAAGTGAAGGTTCTGACGCCTGAAGGTATTATTTCATAACTGTCTCTTTTGATAGATTTTCACAATTTGAAGACAATTCCCGCAATCAAGTATTACTGGTAGTGGGTGTTCGATTATGAACCGAGAGCCGCTAAGACTCCTCTGTAAGAAATAATCAAAAAGAACCACAAGCCACTGAAAATAAAACCCCTGCCTGGAAGCCACACAGCCTCATCTTCTTGCTGGCAGCTCAACACCCTGCAACCCCTGACTCATAGATCGTTTATCTGGATCTTTCAGTGCTAGATAGCATTTGATACTAGAATCAAAATTGAAAACAAAAACAGTGGAACGAAAAATAGCTTATAGAAGCTCTGCACATGAAATGAGGGGTACGGTAAACAGGACACGAAAGCTTTCGCACAAACTCGATTGCATCGGTGGTGAATGCGAGCACTGCTCAAGCACATTCCTGCTTTGCGAAGTAGTCTGCTATTCAAAGAGGTATCCTGGAAGAACAAAACGTGAGCTTGCAAAAGAGTCCACACCCAAGATTTTTCCCGACGAGTATATGAAACCTACAACGATGCTGCACGCAACGGAAACTATGCAGGTAATTCACCGCGTAAGTCATTCTCTTACAGAGTGGGGAAGAACCAAGTACACAACAGTTACAGTTTGCGGCCGCTTTAACTCGCTTTCTCGAGTGACTTACGCAATAGCTCTGTGCGAGTTACGTGGATGCCAAAAGCACGAAGGCATTTCGCGGATGACTTGATCCCGGGAACTGTCTTTAAGGCTCTGAATTGACCTTAGACGTCATATCTGCTTTGCGCAGGAACCAGTCAACAAAAGGATCGCGTGCATTTTCATAGTTTTTTTTTCACTGAACTTCACTCTCTTGAATAAATCAAATTGGATTGTGAAGTGTACACTCTTGGAGGCACGTTCCCGCGATAAACTAAGGCTAGCTTCTCATAACAGTGCACGACGACAGCAAGCAAAACGCAGCGCGCTCAGGTTTTAGGCCCATTGGCGCCCGATAGGCCCATGCCGGCCTGTGACCGTGTCGTTGTGAGACTGCCATTGCGCTCTCTCGCCCGTCGTTTTCTGGCCTCTCTCGTCTCTTATCAGTGTATCGCCGCCTTTTGCAAATTGATCTTGACCACCTTACGCTCGTCCGGTGATCATGATCAATTGCAATAAAGAGGGTCTTATTCCGGGCGCTTTTTCGTGCTTCCTTCTCCTTCAATAAGTCAACAAACACAGGGCATTTGAACTGTATTACCTATGAAGTGTGGTCGCGGGAATTGCCTTTAAACACAGAGAATGAGCTCATGAGTTCGGTCTCAAATTCAAGTCTATACTTGTTTTTCCAGGCAATTACATACATTCCGGTGTCATAGTAGCGGCTTGTTTTGTGCGTCTATGGTGCATTAATGTCCTAATGTTCTACTTGCCATCAGCTATAATTGAAAGAGTTTTTGCTTCGAAATACGTCGCTGACTATGAGAGGTGTCCTAGACCGCTGATAAACAGGGCCATCATTTCTATAGTCTATATATATTCAGCAATTACTCCCATATTCAACATGCTCGGTAAACTTTTATATGCTCTATCACTGCAACTATTTATATGCACAATAGTCAACCCTATAGATGAACGCTATGAACAGCAGACTTGATTTGTGTAAACAGTTTTTCGATAACGATGTTTTATTTTGTTCTAGGATATTCCAACTTATCATTCAAAACGTGGGGTTCGGCAGTAATGGTTATCGGCTATTGCATCGCGTATGTGACCTTGTACCGACGCGATCTTGTGAAATTACGAAATATAAGCCATGGTATTCATAGGAGAAATGCTATTTATACTCTGAGCACAAAGTTCCAGCTGAAAGAAAATCTCAGAGTTATGAAGGTGAGGTGTCCTTCCTACTAATTTAACAGCAAATCATGTTCCAAGGAGCTGACCACCACCTCCCATGAACACCCAATGAATCTTCTTACTTAATAATCTTCACGTACTACGTGAAATTATGTGTCCGACGCTAGCAAGCTTAATGCTACTGTAGTTCTGCAGAAGGCAGGGGTTCGCCCACGAAAGCGAAAGAAATACATCAACTGGGCTCGTGTTACAGCCCCTCCGAATATATGATAATGACTATCAATAAGCAGTGTATTTAAGATACTAATGCAGTTGTCACTAATGTGGGCAGCATGCATCCTGCTCGCGTGCCTATTCTTCATGCTAGCAACATATACTTCAGCTGATGACTCACAGTGGCGTGGTTATGTGCTCTCGCAGCTCTTCTTTGCGATGTAAGTGCATATTTAAGATACTAATGCAGTTGTCACTAAT